GGCGAAGGTTGAACTCCGCCATACAACCTTTCGCTACTCTTTTAAAATAACCGCCATTATAGTGAAGTCCATTTTAATTTTAAGACATCCGATTCCTAAATGAGGTCCTAAGAGCTCATACGTCCTTCATTAAGATGCAGCGGAAACCTTTAAGGTTAATTTTAACACAATATCCTTAACTGTAGTTTATTTTGACTCTGTGGTTTGTTTAAGCAAATAATATTGCATCATTTAGAAGTGAAATATTTATCACAACGTTAATGCTACAGGAATAAGCAGTTTGTTGCTCATGCTGCTGCTTTTTAAGAGGTTATAGAGCGTAAAAACTGAATTACTATGGAAATGAAGTAAAAGCACCCTTGTGGAAGTTGTTTTGCAGATCATCTTATAAATGATTGGCTCTGCCAAAATGAGATAAACACTGCAGTGTTGACTAATCTGTCTTCCAGGCCAACAGGATAACAAACAATGGTTCTGTCATTTTGCTCTAGACACATAAGAAGCGATTTCACACTAGCAAATGCTTGCAGTAGAGAATGTGCTAGGGCATAGAAAAATCCAAGCCCCAATTCATCGTCCTAAAATCCCAACAAAATGGTCCATTTATGAACTTTAGATGCAGTGTAATCGTAAGCGGTTAACCATGAATGTAGTGGAATCCCTCCTGGCACATGCACTTGTTGGGATCTGTTCTGGACACAGCATATGAGCTGGTATAAAGAATAACCCCTGCTCTTCCTTTATACAACTCCATATGCAGCTACCTGGAGTGGTCTGCGTGGGCTTGAGAATAAGTTAATAAAGGGGAATGTATTTCAGCTGGTGTTCTTGCATAAATTATGGATTCCACGCAGCCCCATATTAGTGGACCCAAAGTCCCAATGTAATTAACTTCCATGGCTATAAAATGTAAATTAGTGTTCTACCAGGTAGGCCTCAGTGGAAAAAATGTTATAAGTTTCAAGTGCTGATGCACTTGATAGTTGAGGCACATCTGTCCTCTTCTCCCATCTTCTCCGACAGATTATTTTAGGGTTTCAGACAGCTCTCTTCAAATGTCTTCAAGCTCAGGTTTTCACGTGTCTTCAAATTTATTACGGCAAACTGGGGAAACAGATAAGTTTTGAATGATGCTAAAGCTTAAAAGACCCGTAACCTCATGGAGGCTTAACATGGGATTGAACTCTGAC